CCATGCCTCAATTTTCTATATATATAAATGAGTCAATTCGAAAAGAGATATTATAAGAAAAAAGAATAAATTTGAATCATATTCTTACTAAATCATAATTTCAACGTTTGAACAAGTCTTGATCAAATTTGAATTTAATAATCTTATGTGAAAATATCATCTTGGCCTATCATTCAAAGTATGAATGATGTTTTCAAACATACATACCCAAACACCACAATATTAATAACCCTAAAAAACTAGTTGAACATGTAGACGAAAGTTCCACCTTCAATCTCTGCCCCGCACTTACAAATGACATTTGTCGGGGGCATAGAATTCGTTACCAAAAACAAAAAAAAGAGTTGAGCAACTCCTTGCTAAAAAAATTACTTATATAATACTCCATCGTCCATTCAAATCTCTCTGATATTTGGGTTTACAAAGAAGTTCCAAGCAATTTTTTTTATGAAATAAAATAAAAATATATTTTCAAATGTTTATAATTATGGGCACATAAAATCTAATTTTCCAAATAATTTTAATGTTTCAACATGAATTTTTTATTTTTATTTACTTGTTGCACCTTGGTGACTTTAAGATACATCCCATATTTTACCATGGAGGGGGCAACATATAAATATTGGGTTATTGTACAAGGGTAAAGTTTTCCCTCTTAAAATAAACTCATTTTCTTAACTCAATGTTATTTAATTGAATAAGTTGAGACATATAAATGATAATACATCTTGTTGCGTGCCACATAATCCATGCCTGTAGAATTGTATTAACGTATTAGCATTGTTTGAAAATTTAGCTGACACATCTATTATGTTGAAAACCCGAAAGAGAAAAAATCTTGGGGCATAAACTAGTTGAAATTGTGCTACTATTCAGATGTATATTAAAATACTTTATCTACCCTTGAACAAATGAAGTTGACTTTCATTAGATGAGCGATATAAAATAATTGGGAAGCAATGTGACTCCACTATAACGATGGAATACCAAGGACAGGGTTTGCATGATTAAGATCTGCATGTATTATCACCGTTAGTGGTAGCCACCAGGCAACATTAATCCAACAATTGTAGTAGCAATAGCCAGGTAGCGATGATTTAATGATGGTGATTTAATAATGAAGGTCTAATAATGGGAATGGACTCAACAAAGTGTGGATGTTTTGATGGCACATACGACATCAATTAAACAACGGTAGCAATTACAAAAATGTCAACCACATGATTGTGGTCTAGTGGTCGATATGTGATAGATGTTCGATCACAGTGGGGGTCGAGTGACAGTGACTGGTGAAGGCGATAGTGGCATGGAAAACATAGTGGTAATTGCGATGTTGACAGACAAACAGTGTTCTGACAATAACAACAGTGGCCATGTTGTTTGTGTAGGCTAGGCAATGATAGTTCAACGACTATGGCGAAGGTCTAATAACGTCAATTGATAGGTAGTGGTTTGACAATGGTGGAGGCTACGCAACGCTGATAACATTAATCTCATTGGCCAGATGACTGTGGGTTGACAACAATGAAGGTGGTGTTTCGAAGATTGAGGCAGTGTGACTTAGGTGATGTTAGCCTCGCTACGATGATGATAGTTGAGCGTTAATGATTTGGAGATGATAATGTTGTTATTTAGGAATTGATGGCCAGGCGACAACAGCGACCCAAATGAAGTGGTCGACGTCGATAGATGATAATTTGACTACAAAAATAATGTATGATAATGTTGTTATTTAGGAATTGATGGCCAGGCAACAACAGCGACCCAAAGGAAGTGGTCGACATCGATAGATGATAATTTGACTACAACAATAATGTACCACCACAATAATGAGGAAGATTGAGCAATCATAATCAGACGATGACGGTAGTAGTACAGTGATGGTGATGATGGGCCGACAATGACAATGTACTGTGATTATAGCGATGGTGACCAAATTATGGTGATCTGACAATGACAATAGTGGTCTCATGACATAATAAGGACAATGGATCAACATTGGTTGAGTGTCGATGGTCATGAGGTGCTGGCAACCCAATGAAGGTGATCTTACACAACAACATTGGCCCAAGTTCGATGGTTTGATAAGGTGGTGGTGACCTTGCGTCAACGGTCTTGCATGACAAAGATAGCTTGGTTGGCTTGATGAAGGTGGATTGGTTGTAGAGACGATCCATGATGATGGTGACCTAAATGCATCAACAAATCTACATCGATTGTGTGATTGTGATCCTACGACAGTGACAACCCGTTGATGGTGGCTAGGTGTGAGTGATTCACATGACGAAAGTGACTCAATGTTGACTGAAGGTGATGTCATTTTCGGCCGAGTGCCGGTGGCCGGGCAACTACGACAACATGTGATAGTGATTCAACAATATGGCGGCGGTCTGTGACTGTGGTGGAGCTTGAAAATCCTCAAGAACTTATAGCCCCCCTTTATGAAGAGTGAATATTTATTTGTAAATTTTGAGAGTGACATCATCTATAAATACAACATAAATCCAAACTACTTCATCGGATAGCTCAGAGTGATTGCACTGATAAGATATAATTTTATGAGTGTTTGATTGCCTTAATGATTTTGAAATTAAGCAATTTTAGGCTCATAGGGTTTGCCTCGTCTTGATGCTTAATTTGATTATAGGATTGTTAGATTTAGAGATTATTTGGTCCCCAAATTATGTTTCAAAGCATCTCTTTATGCTTTAAGTGCATGTTTTAGGCTCACTTGGTACTCGTATCAGATCATTTTTTATGTCATTCAGTTTGCCTCAAGTTTATTTGGTCCCCAAATTATGTTTCAAAGCATCTCTTTATGTTTTAAGTGCATGTTTTAGGCTCACTTAGTACTTGTATCATATCATTTTTAATCCTAATGCGCGTCAAGATTAGTCCTTGGCTAAGTTGATTTCTTAGGAACATATCACATCCAAATCAGGAGTATAACAATAAAGAATGTGACTTTAGAAGTCATTTTGTATTATACATACA